AAAACTATACAGTTCGGCTTCTAGCCTTGCTCCATCTTTCACTATGGGGAAGGGCTTTAATAACGATTTTTTGAAATTTTCAAATGTATATGTCTGGCCTCCAAATTCCCCTAATAAAAATTTGCCTATATTCTTCCACCATAGCGCGGCCTGTCCTCTTAGTGCAGATGTGGCGATGGCAACTTTTTGTCTTTCAGGCACAGGCACAGGGTAGAGCTGGAAGTGATTTTCCGAGGCCTTCTAGAAATATCGCCACCGAATTTTTTCCGTCGAAATTGACGTTTGGCTTGATTGACGCTCTCATCGTCTGGACCAGGTATCCAAATCCTTGCCAATTGGCTTGCCATTTCTTGTTGTTGTCCAGCAACTTCCATCCAATTTTCGGCCATTTCAGTTCGACAAGTGTTCGGGGCGCCAATGTAATGTTGCGCGCTTCCAACCTTCACGCAACAATAGTGGTGACTGCTAAGAACTGGAAAGTAGACAAAGTCTTGTGAAGGGTTTAAATCCCTTTTTATTCAACTTTAGAAATTACAAATGAGTGCTCTTGACGCTCACAAACTACGCCGACCCGGCGGTAAAATAAAAATAAGAAATTAAGAAAAGAATAGTAACAAGTGACTAACTACGAGGCTCTCTAAACGTAACTAACCTCACCGCGTTCTAAAATACTGCTGATAATTCAGCAAACTTCTGAATATTACGTTGAAAGTTTAACAATCTGCCGAGGCAAACACACAGGCCGAAACGCGTGCTTCTTCAATTTCTAACTAGCCACCTCCACGCTCGGGAAGCAAGAAAGCACACTTTCGAACTCGTTTCCCTTCTATTTAACTCAGATTACTTCCGCTGACTATTTGAATCCTTTCGCGTTCTACTAAATACATCTTGGCATGGTTCCCAAGTAGTTGAAGAAGTTCTAAAAAATTATAATATAACCTCCATTGCTTTTTTTTGAAACAATGTAAGAAGTCTCTGTCAAAATCCAAGGAATAAGCTTGAGAATAAGCCCCTCATGCCAGACGCGGTCGAAAGCTTTCGCCACGTCTAGCATGAGTAAGGCGACACTCTGATGTTTGAAAAAGTGCAGAACCGATGTATTCACATAGTCGGACAAGCTGCTTGGTCGTAGACAATTTCTTACGGAAGCCAAACTGTTCAGGAGGTATCTTATCCATGTAAGGCTCGATTCTCTTATAGATAACACGTTCGTAGATTTTGCCCAGACCGGGCAGTAAACTAATTGGTCTGTAACCCTCCGGGGAGGTAGCATTTTTACCAGGCTTGGGTAATAAAATTACTTTAGCAGTTTTCCATTTATCGGGGAAATAATTATTCTCAAGACAGGCATTTAAAATGCTGACATATTTCGTGATAACATTAATAGGCAAGTTTTTGATGGCGACGTTAGTGATGTTATCAAAACCGGGAGCTTTTCTATTTTCATTCTTTTGATAATTTTAATAATCCTTAACTTCATTAGGTGAAGTATAATTAGTCTTTTTTTTGGGTCCCGGGCCATTAATCCAGTCTTGAATAAAATATCTAGTGTCATATGAAAATAAAGGGTCGCTTGGATCTTGGTTAGGAACAAATTGCTTTTCTAAAAAGTCAGCCATTACATTGGCTTTGTCTTTATTAGTGACAGCTATAATGTATTATCACCGTAAATTGGTTTATTGTTCGGTTTTTTGCTCGCGAAGATTCCTTGCAAAAGACCAGAATGCATTATTTGGCTCATTGAATGTTTCAATTTTTGCATTCCAAGACTCATCTCTGTGTTTATAAATACTTTTCTTTATTTCTCTGTTCAGTTTATTTAACTCTTTTTTGATTCCTAGGATCCCAGGCAATATGCCATCTTTTGCGCAGTTTGTTTCTTTGTGAAATCAGGTTTCTAATGTTACTAGGCAATCTAGCACTGTACTTATCAGCAGGAATTTTCTTAGTAGCCCTGTTATATGCACTAAGTATGCTATTATTGAGAACATCAATTGCATAGTCAATATCAAATTTTGTTTTAAGGTTGCTTAATAGCCGGAGGGTTTTCAATGAGGTAAATTATGATATTTATTTATTCCAGTCCGTAGTGATTTTAAATCTTTCGTCAGTGTTTTTATTTGTACCAAGCGTAGCTAAAACCGGCACATGATCTGAAGTTAATTCAACTTTCACATCAAGATAAATCGGGATTGAAGTGGTGGTAAGAAGAACATCCAGGATGTCTCCTTTTCGAGGGTCATCAGGAAGATAGGAATAGTTCAGTAGGAGCATAAAAATAAATAGGATAATTATTAATGAAATTCTAGTAAAAGTTCTCCATTTCTGTTGGTGCGTCTGCAACCCCACTCTACATTCTTCGCGTTGAGATCGCCAGCTAAGATGATATGTTCTGAATTAGGCAGCAACTGTGCGAGTTTATGCTCATCAATAGGAATGTGTGGAGGGTTATACAATGCAATGAAAATAAATTATGCCATAATTTGGTAATAAAACAGAAGCTGTAACAGCTTCGTAGCCGTTTTCCTCTATCTTCGCTAATCAGGCATGATTGCAAGGAGTGCTTTAACGTAAATAGCGGCCCCCCCACCACGGTGACTCAGTCTGTCACACCTGTAACAGTTGTAATTTGCGATCTTAATATTCAAAACAAGGTGTCGCAAACGTTTCGGTGACAAGAGCAACATCAATATCGTAGGTTAGTAAGAAATTATGAAATTCCTGGATTCTATTTAAGATGCTATGAGCATTCCAAATCATGATTTGGATAGGAGCTCTATTAATTCTGTGCGGGCCCATTATCAGTATTGTTGGGTTGATTGCTTTCATGATGATTTCTGTTCAAGTCCTTAACTTGTTGTGTGAGCTGGAAAAAACCAGCGGATTTTATTGCTGAAACCAGTTCAGCGAGATCAGTGAAAACTTTTTTGGCCTCAGTAATTGTATCTGTGTAGATACCAGTCGAAAGAGCAGCTGCGAAAGATTTACCTTCAACTATTCTATTAGAAAAAGTTTTAGGCTTTTCAGTTTTATTTTTTCGGGAAATTTTTCACATCCTTTGAAACTAGATGTGTGGTTGCCACCGCAATTTACACAAACTAAGGGAACATCTTTCTTATTTTTGTCCGGACAGTCTTTTACATAATGATTTTTACTACACCTGACACATTTCGGTTCATAGTTACAACCCGCCTGAGTGTGGCCAAAACCCTGGCATCGAAAACATTGTAATGGTCCCTGTCGGCCTCTGTATTCTACAATTTTGACTCTGAGGTCGCATAAATAGCGTTCATGATATATTTGTTTAGAGTTTTCATTTTTAGGTAGGGTAACAAGGAAAAGTGGAAGTTTCTGAACTTCACCGCCTCTACGTCGTGACATTTGCTTTATTTCAATTATTTGATAATTTAATTCAGTTAAATTTTCCTTAATTTCCTCAATTTCAGTCGTGAGAAGTAGTCCATTAATTACTACCTTGAGATTTTTATCCTCTGGCAAAATGTACGAATGATGCTCCACTTTCATCTCTTTTAAGATCCTAACAATTCCCTTATAACTGTCAGGATCAGAAGTAATAATTTTAACACCATCCTTAATATTCTGTCCGATGAATTTATATTTGTGTTGATGGAATAATCCTGTTAACGCTTTATATTTGAATTTGTTTCTTTGAGAATTATCGGAGGGAGTTTGTTCTTTTTAGGTGTTTTTAAACCTGTGTGTTGTTATCATTTGTGGAATTTTGCTGATCATCAGCATTAGAAGTATCCATTTCAATGTTATCAGAGATAGTGTGTTGTTCAGGAATGACTGATTCTTGACTAGTACTTCTGTGAATTTTCCTGCGGTACATTCGTACCATTGTTATCTTTCTGAGTGATAACTGGTGAAATGATTTGCGTGAAATTATCTAATTTGAATCTTTTTAATAACCCTGTCTGGGATTTCTTGTTCGGACTGTTTTGTCTCCAAAACGTTGTGGATAGTCGTTCGTCAGAGCTAGAATCTTTATCTAATGTTTTTTTCATCATCAGTTAACAATTGTGTTATCATGAATACTAATTGGGCTACGTGCCCTCTCATTTTCCTTCGTAATTTTTACTTGTGGTTGGAATTTGAGGTTGTGTCTTATCTTGATTTAAAACTGAGTCAGTTTTACTTTGAGTAAGTAGTGCATTGACAATTTCAAGTGTGAGCTTAACAAAAAATTTAAGAATTTTGTTTCAATTTCTGTGAGTTCACCTTTATCCAATTTGAGTTGTTCCAACTCATGTATTTGTAATTTGTAACTTTCTACGAGCCTCTCCATGGTCGCGCTAAGCCAAAGCAAAACGCAGAGAAATCCAGAAATCCAGCGCCCATAAGGCAGTAGTCCTACACCCCGGAATGGAGCCCTGGCTCGACAGCCTTCTCCACAGACGGATGTGTAGGCGGAAAACACACGAGGCCCCTGACAGTCACCTGAAGTGAAAGCTTGGGGGTAACTACGTGCGTTATAAAATCCAAAAAAATTCGCGCAGAACAGAGAAAATTTATCTGATTAATTTAAATCGCGCAGTAAAGCGAAATTTATCGTAATATGGCAAAAAACAAGTAACCAGCAATTAGGCTATTTGGCAAGACACGCGGTATTAAATTTCATAATTAAAACTCAAAAGGCCAAAAATAATCGAAAATAATAAATTAGTGAAAGCGTATCAGCATTTCACAAATCATACAAACCACAAAATAGCATTAAAAAATGCTGATGCAGTCAGATAAGCAATGGTTGCCGGCAAACTACGATGAACGGAAGGACTCCGAGTACCGGCCAATGTTTTTTTTACCAAAAGTCCTGATTCGAGATATAGATGCAGGGGGGAACACAGCTTCAGGAGAAATAGCACTCGCTGACGTATTGGGTGACAGTCGTTAGTTCTCGGCGTTTGTTTACATTCGTTGCATTTGATCTGGGATACATTTGATTTGTGTTGTTAATTTGCTTTTATACGTAGTCGGAAATGGCAAGTTGTGCTATAGCGTTGTGTCAGAATTATAGAAGGAAAACTAAAAGTCAAGGCATCACATACCATCGTTTTCCAAGTGATCCAGAACTTTGTAAGTTATGGACTAATCGCTGCAAAAGAGCAGATAATTTCAACATCGAAAATGCCAGAATATGTGCTCTTCATTTTACACCTGATGACTACGTACGAGATCTAAAGGCAGAATTGCTTGGTTCAACTCCTAAAAGGGTGCTGAAAGCCAATGCTGTTCCCACTTTACATCTTCCGTCATCATCATGTGAAAATAACTCATCAATAAAGTATATATGTTGTGCTTCAAAAACTGAACCTAATCTGGAGAAAACGTTTTCTAACATGAATGAGTCATCTAAATTTATGCTAAAAAGGGATAGAGCAAGCAGGTGTCAGGCTCGGGGAACAAGGAAACGAGCATTGGAAAATTTAGCTTCCCTTTCCCCCAAAAAGAAAAAACTACAAGCTGATAAGATAGACTGTGTAACTCAGTTTGCATCCAGTGACACATCTCATTTAGTTGAGCGTGTGCAAATCTTAGAAAAGGAAAATAAGAGATTAAATGTGTTGCAGTCAATTGAAAATGCGAAAGAAAATTATTTTTACTGAACTTGCTGCTTCTCGTAGAAAATTGCGTAGCTATCAGAAAATGAACAGGAAAGTAACAAGCAAACAAGTACATAGTGCAGTTAAAAAAAAATTTTAGGGACAATTTTTACGGACAATCAAATTCGCTTTCTCATGTCAAATAAAAAATATGTTAAGTGGAATGCAGATGACATTTGCAAATCTGCAACACTTAGGGCAGTATCCAAAAGATGCTATAACTATCTCAGACAAAAAATGGGATTTCCATTTCCTAGCATTTCGACTTTGAAGAGATGGGTATCTTGTTCATTTCGCTGTTCTCCTGGTTTGCTACACGATGTAATTCATGTTATGCGTGCTGGGGCATTACAGATGACAGACCAAGAATGTATGTGTGTTCTTTCATTCGATGACATGAACGTGGATAGTAGAATCTGTTATGACCAAGCAGAAGATAAGATTGTTGGCCCACATAGAAATGTTCCATGCTTATCGCATCAGCTATATAAATTTTTAGAAGTCAAATACCCATAGTCATCTCTCTTCACTCCATTCACTAATAAAATCTGCATATCTCAATTTTATCAAAACAGGAAAATGAATTAAAATTCCTTAAATGGTAGAAAATTTGAATATAAAAGATGAAATTACATGCACGTTATACTATAAATAAATCTTTCAAGATAATTTCAAAGAGCTAAATGCTAATTGCATTCATAAAAAAGGATAGCCATCTATTTGTACCAGTTCCAATTTTATGTTGAATCACTTTTTCCAAACCATCCAAGAGAGAAGTGGTTTTTTTTTTAAAGTGATTTCCCCAAATTACAGGCCTACACCACTATTAAAAATAAATTCATAAAACTTGGAGCTGTACCATATACATACATGCTACATATTATACATAATCTATGGAGAAACAAAGTATAAATCAAAATAAACAATTGAGTTATTAATTGAAATTAATTAAATTTTTTATCATTTTTATATGAACATTTTATATTAATTTTGTCATTTTTATATTTTGTATTATTATTTAACATTATTTTACAAGTTATCAAACATTTTCTAACCGAGTTTGTAAAGTCATTCCACAAGTGCAAGAATCTGTTAAATTAAAGTAACTGTATAGTGTACTAACTGTATGCAAGATAACTTATATAAAATATCCATTTGCTTTCCTGACATAAGAAATGCATTTTCCATGTTTTTAAGAATTTCACCAAATAAGAAATATACAATTGAAGATTAAGAGTAACTTCAGATGGAAAATTTTTAATTTCCCCCTTATCTAATTCTTTAAGAAAACCAAAAATATCATCTGCTGCTGTATCTACTGAATGAGTACTTTGCAACAAGTCCTGGCAAAATTTGCATTTTATCACCCTTAATTTTTTTATGGCATCATAACCTGAAACATAAACTAGCACTGCTAAAATATCAGATCAGAAGAAACATTTTCTATAAAAAAATCATTAATAAGTAAATTTGAATAATCAATTAATATTCGCAAAATTAAAGATAGAATCCTTATCATAATCTGGTAAAAGGGACATTCATATTTGATGATGAAATTATAAAACGAAGCTTCTTCTCATTTTCTAATAATTGTAGGTCATTTATTTAATATTCTGAACCTGACATTTGCCCGATACATTTCAAAACGTGATTCAGGAGCAATCAGTTTGAAATTTTTCTAACAATATGTATTTCAGCTTCATACTTTTGAAACAAACAGGGGATCAATTGAATGAATGCATCTGTAGTTGTTATTAATGCCTGAAATGTTTGTGGTGATAAAGTTTCTTTTATTGGGACAGAATGTCAAATATGCTATTAGAAAGAAATAATCAAAATGAGGAATTCCTAATGTACTATTCCAAACAAATATTCAAAACAACACTATGCGAAACGTCCAAACTAACGTATTCGATGTTATGTTAAAACGAAATTACTTGAATAGGATTGAGAACAGCTACAAATTTTTCCCAAATAAATCTAAAATTAAAAAAGTATAAAACGAAGTATAGATAAAAATATTATTTACCTTAGCGTAAGTGATTTAAAATCACTTAATAGCAAAATATACATCCAAAAAATCCACGACCACGGGTTCACAACCATACACTACCACAACAACACATCGACCATCTCGATCACGTGACTTTTGCGCTTCAAGGCCATTATAGAGTTGGCTGTGCTTGTCTCCCGGGTGACGTCACTACCAGCAACCAATGGCACGCTTTTTCCGTTCCTGGCCTAACCTTAGTATATTAAAGAACCTTGATAGGAATGTATCTCATTTATTCTTTAGGAGACTTTAATTGCATTTTCATGATCTGTGTTAGCTGATAATGGTTACAATTTTACGTTAGAACCTTTAAACAATCGCTGAAAAAGTTTATTAATTATTTGTTTGTAATTCGGGTGTTTGATTTCTAAATATTTCAGCAATAATATAGATCCCGTGCTTCCATTTAGTAAAACTTCCCCAGTATTAAACGAGAAGTGATGATGTAATCTATATTTAAATATAGATTGATGTATTTCTCTTGTGAATGAAAATCTATATTAAATATTCGCTAAGTTAAAACACCTTTTTTCCCCTTAATTACTCGCTTATCTTTTGAGAAGCAATACTACCTTGAAATTTTGCATCGCTAAATCATAGGCCTATACTTCTTGACAGAGTTATTATCCATAAGATTTTTAGGCCTTTAGGTCTTCGTGAGAATCTACTTTTTAAGCTATTTACTAATTTTTGGTTTAAACAAAACAAAACAAAACAAAACAAAAAAAAAAAACTTACATTTAACAAACCTAAATAAAAATACAAACTAATAAAAAAGAGACAAAATAATTAAAGTAATTTGTTTAAAAATTCTGAGTTTAAAACATGTTCCCCAGAAGTGTGATCTACTAAGCGAGTAATTAAGGGGAAAAAAGGTGTTTTAACTTAGCGAATTTTGCATCTAAACCTATGGAACATTTTTAGTTACGGAGTTTCCCGCTTACGTTCTTCTTTATCAGCAGTGGCGAAAAAAAAAAAAAAAAAAAAAAATGAAGCATTTTTTTCACAAGTAATTTCTTCTTATGTGTAAGTCAGTTTCATTTCTAAAATATTTTCTAACTCAGTACTGTGATTATGTGTAACTCAGTAGTATGTGAATCGTTATGAAATGCTTCAAATTTCGCGAATTTTGCTTGTAAAACTATGCAGCTGTAAGTAAATTGAGTACTTTATGGCCGAATGGTTGAATCTGCTGAATACTGGAAGTTCGATCTCAGCAAAACGAAGTAGTTGCATGGTTGATATTCGTGCTTTCCTCATGTGTAATCTGAATACGGGCCAATTCCCTCTTGAAACGTTCTCCACAAAGGCATCCTTCCTCTCAAGCCATAAACTTCGTATGCTGGGTCATAATCAAGATGAATTAAACACAATCACTCTGAATTAATCTTACCATCTGTATGGGAAGAAACAAACAAACTGTGATGCTTCTCTCTCTTCAAGAGGAGGACTGTTTCATGTCAGTGGCAAGAAAACTCTCATTAGATCACCAATAATGACAAATGGAATATTGTGAGAATTATCTGCTTTCACTTTGTGCACATTAAGACGAAGGCCGTTGTAACGTCTGAAACGTTTCACTGAAACGTTCTGTAAATTCTGGCCACTGTAACGTCTGAAAGAAAAGAACTGTTTTCTTTTAAATATTTATTTTAAAAACTTAATAAAAATTTCTTTATTGACGTATTACTATTAATTAACATAATCAACCATTACAGCTATAATTCACACAATGGCCGCTGAATGCAGCCACGACGCTGGATTTGCGCCTTCTCCCGAGTCTTTCACTACATAAAAAAACTCACACAAAAGATCCTCTCTTTCCTTTTTTTCAAGCAGTGTCAGAAAATACCTGGAATGGGGTAATTACTGTCCCTTATGTCCGGAAACCGCACCAGAGAATTTCCGTAACACCTTTCCTCAAAGTTCTCTGTCAATTACTCTCTGAACAAAACAGGAAGTGCTTCTCATTAAGCACCTGTGTTTCCGAGGTGTGCATATGTCGTCGCACCACAATAAAATGTTGTAGCGTCATTAGGATTTTTGAAGTAGGAGACGTGAAAATGAGCAATGCCCTCGTCGGGACTCAAACCTGGATTCTTGAATACGCGCCGAGTGTGCTACCGTTTCACCACGGAGGCATGCAGACAAGAGGGAGAAAATACCTAATATACTCTCCCTTTTAAAGGGCGACTGGATATTAGGTCACCCAAATTCTGGTGGTGAAGAATCATCATACACCAACTTTTTAGTTCGGGCGCCACTGTGGAGACATTACATTATCTGAAGCAAGAGGTGTGAGAAATGAGCAAGGCCCTCACCGAGACTCGATAATGGAGCTCTGGAATACGCGCCGAGTGTGCTACCACACCACGAAGGCATGCGGAGAGGAGGGAGAAAATAACTTATAATGTTTTATGAAAAAAAGGGGGATTCCTCTTCTTATATATGCTCACTTGTCAGATGCAAGGGGATTGTATGTATGCGGATCTAGTGTTAGAGATTTTTTTTTTTTTTTTTATTTAAACTAACTAATATTAATATTGCATGCTAGGGGAAAAGGAAAAAGAAAAGAAAGGAACTCTGCAGCCAAAGCCTGAATAAAAGCAACAGTATTTATTTTATGATAACAGAGCATCGTTGAGGACATTCTTACTGAAAAACTGTTATAATTCAAGACTCACATGTCTTACTCACTTGTAAGAGAAAACTCATTTATTAAAGTTAATAGCAATTTTAGGAGGTCTTTTCATTTAGCGTTAACTTTACAAAATTATTTAATTACAAAGCTTCATAAATCAAAAAAAAAAAAAAAAAAACTAATATAATTTCTAAATGAATAATAATTTTTAATTCTCTGTACGATTCAGAAAAGAATTTTTTCCCTTTTCTCTTTTAAAAATTGAAAAAAATTTTCTTTTTCTTTCGCATTAATCTATGTAATGTAGTG